TTCCCGTCTGAGCATCTTCTTTCGTCTTCCAGCCATTCCAGACCCCCCTGAGAACCTGAGGTGGCGAGACAAGTCGGCCAGTGGCATCTTCCTGACCTGGGAGCCGCCCAAGTACGACGGTGGCACCGGCATCCGAGGATACAACGTAGAGCGCCTCCAGAGAGGATCAGACAAGTGGGAGCCCTGTGGAGACATGGTGACCGAGCTGAAGTGCCAGGTCACAGGTCTGATCGAGGGCCAGTGGTACTCCTACCGAGTCCGAGCACTGAACCGCCTCGGAGCCAGCCAGCCCTGCAAGGCCACAGATGAGATCCAGGCTGTGGATCCCAAAGGTGACCACGATTAGTCCTGAACGGCCTCCCAACCGAGACTGATTCAGTTCAAAAGTTTCTTGCTGACGCTTTGTTCTTCCTCCCCTCGCAGAGGCTCCAGAGATCCAGTTGGACGCCAAGCTGCTGGCGGGTTTGACCGCCAACGCCGGCAGCAAGATCGAACTTCCCGCCGAGGTGACCGGGAAACCGGAGCCCCGCGTGAAGTGGACCAAGGCCGACCTGGTCCTCAAGCCAGACGACAGGGTGTCCATCGACACCAAACCAGGACACTCCACCATCACCATCGCCAAGACCAAGAGAGACGACAGCTGCACCTACATCATTGAGGCGACCAACAGCAGCGGCCGGGCCACCGCCACCGTGGAGGTCAACATCCTCGGTAAGACCGGACAGAGAACAAGAGACGACTCTCCTGCTGAGTTCCTGCTGAGCTAAAGTCAAACCCTCTCCCCTGAAAACAGATAAGCCTGGTCCTCCCGCTGCCTTCGACATTTCTGAGATCACCAATGAAACCTGCTTCCTGGCCTGGAACCCTCCGCGAGACGACGGCGGCTCCAAGGTCACTAACTACATCGTGGAACGCCGAGCGGCCGACAGCGAGATCTGGCACCGGCTGTCCTCCACCGTCAAACTGACCACTTACAAAGCCGTGGGCCTGGTCAAGTTCAAGGAATACATCTTCAGAGTCTTCGCTGAAAACCAGTTTGGTGTCGGCCCACCGGCCGAGCACCCTTCCATCATTGCCAGATACCCCTTCGGTAGGTCACCTGACCATTATTCCTAAAGGAAAAGTGTGACCCCTCCTGGTCCTTGATCATCTGGGCTGGATACTAACACCTCCTCTTCTTTCCTCAGACACACCTGGAGCCCCCTACAAGCTGGAGGCTTCAGACATCGCCAAGGACTCTCTGACTCTGGCCTGGTACGAGCCGGATGAGGA